TCAGATAATCAGATCTTTGCGTGGGGCAATGCAGGAAATGGACGTTTAGGCATGCCTGCTGATCGAGGATTTGGCTCTGAGGTTTGCCCTGCTCTTCCTCGGCCCATTTTTGGCTCCCTACACCATGTGCCTGACTTGTCCTGCAGGGGTTGGCACACCATACTTATCATGGGTAATAGGCTCACTGCATTTGCTTTTAACAATTTATTTGTCATGGACTAAAGCTGCTTATCTGTGAAATGTGGCAGGTGTCACTTATTTGCAGATGTAGCGTTCGGAGTTGGTGTAAGTGCAGTTAATAGTCTGTCCGTGTGTGGTTTTTTTTTTTTATTTTTTTTAATACTTTTCACAGAAAAGGTGCTAAACTCCAAAACTATCCGTTCAAACAGTAGTGGACTGTCCATTGGAAGTGGTGAGAAGATGTCTCTTATTATTATTATGATATTCCTAATTGTAAATGTATGTTGTTGTCATATTAATTTCAGTCACCTTGTGTGAATCTGTAGCTTGATGTTAGAAGTGTGTGTGTGTGTGTGTGTGTGTGTGTGTGTGTGTGTGTGTGTGTGTGTGTGTGTGTTCACCTGAATTCTATACAATAATCTTAAGGCATAGGTCAGGGCTCGAGCTCTTCTTTGGACCTGGGTATTGAGCCTGGCTCAGACTCTGAGCTGCGAGACGGTATTTTGGGGGGTACTGTGGAGGCTGACATGGAGGACAGAGGTCTAGAGACTCCTATTTTTTCAATGGAGAGCAAGACCAATGAGAGTTCTTGCCCGTCTTGGCTTCGCAAGGTATGCACTTTACCAGACACTTCAGTAAAGCTCTTCACTAGGCAAGGCAGCATCCCCATAAGCTAACTGGGTATCATCTCCAACTTTCTCTCTTTAGGAGCTGATGGATGCAGAGTTCATTCCCATGCCTGACGGCTCAAGAGACTCAATGTCTGGCCCTCTGGCTTCCTCTTTTTCAGAAAGTGCCACACTCCCATATGAAGAGCTTCAAGAGCTAAAGGCAGCTGCTGCTGCTGCCACCAGTGGGAATGGCCTCATGGTAAAGACTGTAGAAAAATACAGAACATTATTTCTTCTAGACCGGGGGTGTGAAACTCCGTAAACACCAGTAAACCAGTAAACACTTTGAAGCACTTGCAGTAGACCTTGAAATATTACATGGACACTTGAAATATTCAAAATTTAAATGTCCTCAGGTGCTTTTAAACCTTCCTATTTGCTTGAACTAGACATCTAGCATCCTTTCTTTGCTGCAAGTTCTTTAAGACCTCGGCTCAATTTCTGAGCTGCTGAGTTAACGTTAAGTGTTTGTATTGGTTGAACAGCAGCTGAAATGAATTTGGGGATATTACTGCTTTGGAATTGGGCAGAAAAGTGTTTTATTACTGAAAAGTGAATTACTGTTTAACCGCTGTCCTATAGATTGTTGTTGGGGTAGGAGAGTTAGAGCGCACATTACGTTGCATTGCATGCTGAGAATTGCAGTGCAGCATGTTGTGAAACCGGCTAATATTAATAGAAAACTAAAATACTTTTGCAGGCCGGATAGGATTGTGTGGCGGGCCTGATCTTGCCCGCGGGCCTTGTGTTTGACATATGGGTTCTAGACTCTGTTATGCTTGAATTCTGCCTTTTTGGGCTGCTTGATTAATATGACACATATGAAAACAATACTAGATGAGTGAGTAATTGAGTGCCTTTTCATAACTCATGTGCTGTGTTTCTTGCAAGCAAACAGCATGTGTAGACTACGAGAGGGTCAATGGATTGGAATCTGGAGCCTGGAAGAGAAGTAGCCTCTCGCAGCAAGATGCTCCGCAGACTTGCTGCCAAGCAAGTAGTGAGCTTGCTCAGGTAAGGGTTACATAAACAGTAATAAACACAGAGATACACCACTCGTACCACTTTCATTTGAGAAGTTTTCATGTAAAAAGTCATAAAAAATGCATATTACTGATTTGACATGTTTTTTTAATCACCATTTGAAAATAACTGTATTCTTTCGTTTGTAGCTCCGGGAAATGGTGAAAAGGCAAGATGCCACTATTCAACTGTTACAAAAACAAGTGAGTAAAAATATATTTCTGTTAAGCCCTGCTAAGCCCTGTTGATGGTGGTAGTAATGATACTTTTTTTGTTTGTTTTTTTTTTTTAACTGTTGTAAATCTTTTTCCTTGCCAAGAAGCAGAGCCAAGAGAGTTTACTAAGAAAATCAAAATTAGTCATTTATCATTGCACTAACAAATAGATTAAGTTCTGCTTTGTAGTTACTTCATAATATCTTCACAAGCTCTGATGACTATTTGACATAAATGTGGGTAAAGTAATAACCAGAGTATTCATTAATCTTGAGCTTATCCTGCAGTTTGGAGCAAAGAGATATTTGTGGATGTCAGTTTAGCATTTTGAATGAAACAGGAAATCCCACCAGGTCAGGAGTTGCCCACCCCTGATGTCGATTAATACATACATAGTCATAAGTACTACAACAGTGAAATCAAGATTTTTTTGTGAACACATGAGTAATGATTAAAGACTATTCTGAATGTAAAAGTATTCTGAATGTGATTATTTCTGGATGTGTTTTTGCATTTTGGGATTATAGCTTATTTGCTTCATCTTTCAAAAAATTAATTAATTATCACTTTCTTTGCGATTATTTGCATCCAGGTCCCACATTTTGTGTTAGCAAAGGTATTAATTTACTGTTAAAGTGGTTAGGCATAAAAGCAAACAGTGAATTTTACTGACACTGTCATTCTTTTAGGATGCTTTGTTAAACATTGTTTTTAGTAGATTTCTTTTTGTGTTTGGACATATAATCAAAAATTCAGGTCTAGAATGTACTCCATAGAAGTTTGTTTCAACTGCTTGGATATCTCTAATATTGGTTTGCGCTAATTAAAGAAGCCACACAGTGGTGAGGATTTTTTTTTCTTGCTGAACCTGAACTGTCCACCTCTGCTAAAACAGGCATTTGGATCCAGAAAATGATGCAACTGCAAAATTATATGAAACATGCCCAAACTTACTCAGAAATAAAGGGTAATTTAGTCCGTGAACACTAACCCCTCATGTAAGTATACCTGTGCTTAGAATGGACTAAACACGTTTCACCATTACTGGTACTAAAAAAAAACTAAAATGAAATACACATTTTTTTGTGTACAAACTGCTTCCCTACTGTTTGTCATAAACTTCATGCTCTTGCAGTTATTTTGGACTGCTAAGGTAATTTGTGTTGCTGCTTTTTTTTCAGTACAAAGATCAACTCGAAGAGAATGAAAGGCTGTGGAGGGCCATTCATGACCTCAGATTAGGAGCTGATCATTGTGAAAACAACCACGAATCAAGAAGTTTGTCTGATGAATGAGGGAGAGTTTACGTGCACATATTTTCAAAATGAATTACAGTGGTTATTATCCAGAACAACCCACTGCTGGTCAAGACACACCTTGAAGCCTCAGTGAATGAGCTAATTGGTGAGGCTGAGTATGTTGCTGAAATGTTAGTTGTTTGGTCCTCATACTTTTTCCCCATTACAGGATGAGGGGGAGGACTGTGTGTCTTATCAGTCACAAAATACTTTTGCTGCCTCTAGGTAACAAACAGAGATTATACTCTTTGTTTTATTGTGGCAACATCAGGTCGTGTTAGATGGTAAAGCCATTACATTCCTCCTATTGTTAGTGCTGTGTTTGTACCTGTATATGTGCCATGCAATAATATAGAACTTTTGCCATTGAATCACAACATTGATGATTCAGATTCAGGATTACTCAAAATGGAAGCAGTCTTGACTTACTGTAACAAGTTTGTTTGTGCTGTGGTGGTTTAGAGTGCAGCACAAACTACTGTCCAAAAAGTTCTTAACAAGCTTTAAGCTATTTTGTGTTAATACACTGCCAACAGTGTCTTCAGTATTGATTTCTACACCAAAAATGCCTTCAGTACTTTTGCTCATAATTTGAAAATGCATTTATTCATTTTTCATTTAATTTCTTTCAAATGTGGATTGTGTGGCTATGGACTCAAAACACTTGCATTTAAAAGAATACACCAAAAGCTGGAAAGGTGTACTCTTTGCACGTGCCACCATATACATTTTTGTTATTACTTTGAAGAGTTTGAAGCGTTGTTGAGACCAGCAACTAACGGGACAGTGATTTTAAAAGGTTTGCTTTGTTATGTGCAAATGTATGTAAAATGGTTTTACATTTCATTTAGTGATCTATCATGTTCAACATGGAAGAATGTACAAGCTACTGATTTTTTTTTTATTTTCCATTGGACTCCCTTGTCTTTTTCTATTACGCAATTTTAGAATTGATATTTTAATGGAACGGTTAACACTCCGCAAACAAAACAAAATGCTGGGCTCTGAATTTTTGAATGGCCAGAGCTCCTTCAAGAGTTTTTGTATGAATGCATCCCTACACCCATACATGTTGAAAGTACAATAAGAAAACCAAAGACTTTGTGTGTTTGTGTGTACATTGTTTACCTAATTTTGTCATATTTTATATTATTTTTCTTTTTTTAATAGATGCATACAAAACAGATTTTACTTTCAAGCTGTATTTGTATACTCTGTTTGGTAATTATGGACAGCAAGTGCCACACTTCTTTAGTACAAATCTTTACAATCTTTACAATCTTTAGCCTGTAAACCAAAAAAAGGTCATTTTAAGTGCCTTGGTAATTTTTAAATTAAGCTATGGAGGCTTAGAAAATTGTTCTCATTTTTAAGTTATTTTTCTACATCGAGTTTGCGCAGCATTACATTTTAAGGGCAATGCGTATACTGGGTGTATGTATTCTGCCTGTAACTGCTCACACTTGAAAGAGAGCATTGCATTGCATGCGTTGTATAAATAAAAACACTTCTACAAAGACTATAAGGTGTAATCAACTGCATCATACTGTACACATACTTGCTTCATAATAGTACATCTTTAAGTGAAAATGCACATTCATAAGCCCTTTGTTTTAAAGTTTATTGTATCTTGTTAGATGATAGATCGTTATGACACGTTTCAGTAGTGTAAAGTAAAAGTCAACTAAACACATTTCATTTTTGCACTCACATTTTCATTATTGGTGCAGCTGCTACGTTCTACAGTTATATTCACTTTCCATTTTATTGGCAGTGATGACTTATTAAAACACAGCTATTGTAAAAGTCTAAAAGTTGTTGTAAAACATAATCTTGCCATCTTGTTTAATGACGATGCCTTGGTGGTGGAGGTCTGCTCCTAATGTTCTGACACTTAGGAATGTGTCTCTCTGCTGGACCAGGAGCAAAGCGTCTCCCACAGTGGGGACAGCTTACATAATCTGGATTCACATCTGCACTTGGCTGGGGCTGAAGCCCTCCTGGTGCAGGAGCACGAGCTTGGCGCAGGTTATGAATTAAGGCCTCATGCTTTTGACGCCAGTTGTTCTTCTTGACCTAGGGATATCAAAAAAAAAAATACTTTAGGCACATGTAAGCAATTGACCTTAATATGTGTAACATTTTAAAACAAACTGAATTGTTATATTACAACAGAAGGAAAATGAAAAAGAACCCTCATACTGTGTGGTCTGCAGGGCCTTGGAATAAACTACACTAATGTCTTCATGTCTTCACTAATGACTAAGAATTGAATTGACATATGGCAATGGATTCTATTAAACAGTATAACTTTACCTCTGGTGTCTTAGGCCTGCTGTTTGTCTTCATGAACACCTCCAGGTCGGTGCCCTTGGCTCTGAACTGTGCAGAGTCAAAGGTTTTACGTTTGGACTGCTGCTGTTTCTCACAAATCCTGCTGTGTCTCTCCAGACGATTTTCTGCAAAGCATCTGTGGCATATTTTACAGGGTACAAGCTGAACATGAGCATTAGGATCCACTTCTGGCCTGAGTTCGACTTGCTTGAGCCTTGCACTGTTCTGGTTGAGGTGAGCAGATTGAGGAGCTGGTTCTTTGGATTGACCTTTTCTGATGCTGCTTGTTGTCTCCTCTGCAATCTTCAGACTCAGCTGCTGCAGTCTTTCTTGGGCCACCTGCTGATCTGCTGTATCCCCATTTGTTTTGTCATACTTAGAGGATGCTTTTACATGTGACTTTGACTTGAATGTGTCCATTATGTTCCATTGCTCCTCTTGATATTCCTTGTCCATACTCCATCCATACTCCATATCTGTTTTATATTTTGCTCTTTCACCCCTCTTTTCTCCATCATTTGCTCTTTGCATCATTTGCTCCTTCTCTTGCCAGTCTCTCCTGTCCCATTCTATTGCTCTTTCTCTCCTTGTCTTGTCTTTTTCTGTTCTTGCTGTTTCCCATTTCTGTTTTGTCATTTCCTCATAATGGTCCCACTCTTTTTTCTGATTCTTACAGTCTGTGGTTCGCTGAGTATTTCTTCGCCTGTTTTCCTGCTGTATTTCTTCTCTCCTCTCTGTGTAACGCTCATTCATCTCTATCTCGTAATTCCCCCATCTTTCGAGATCATCTTTGTTGCCCATCCCCCAGTCTCTGACTCTCTCCCTCTGTCCTTCATTTCTTCTACCTTCTTTGGCCCTTTCTATGGCTCTCTCCCAGTCCCAGTTTCTTTTTTCAGTACAGTATAACCTATTTTCTGCTTTTTCTGTGTTTTTAATCCTCTCCTCTCTTTTGACCTTGTTCCCAGATCCAGTCCTCAGCTGGATCTTTCTCAGTTCTTCTTCAGTTTTTAACAGCTTTTCTTGTAGTATTATTTCCTTTTTGCGTATCTCCTTCGTCAACCGACTGTCATTTCCAGGAAGTCTGTAGTGGTCCTCATATAATAACTGATACGCATTTGTTGATTTCCCATTAGTCTCACCTCTTTTCCGTGATGGCTGATGGGACTCAGTATCAAAAGAATCTAGTTTACTTAGATACTGTTTCTCCTGCCTCCTGTTACTGGTCTGTTTACCTTGAGATTGACAGGGGAATGGGTAATCAAGTCTCCTCCTGTCATTTTGTTTAAAATAGTCGTTGCCTGCTTGGCAGTTGTTCAGGTTAAATGCCCTCTTGTGGCACACAGGCTTCATAGGAAAAATACTGTCCATTTCAGATTTCTCCATGAAAATGTCATAATCCTTCTCGAAGTCCGTTTTGCGCCTGGCTGTGGCAGAGTTTTGCGTCCTCTGGACATCTGGATTATGCCAGTTTTTGCGGAACGAGTAATCTTGCTCCCAGTCTTTAGGGGAATTCATCCTTCTGTCCCTCTCTCTTGGCGTGCTTAAACGGGAACTGGAAGGTGAGGATACATCCTGTGCAATCCTGTCTTCTCTGCGTAATGGTGGCAGTTTTTCCAGTATCAAATCTTTCTCCAAAAACATTTGTGCAGAGTGAGATTGATGCACCATTTGCACACGTGCCATACTGATTATGTATCACTATATCCAATAATGACAAAATCAAAATAAAGACCTTTCTCTGCAAATCAGACCAAAAACAGCTATGAACTTACTACCGTCCTGGTTGATCTAGCTAGCTATAACCTATCTTAGTAGATTAGAATTAATGTATTAATAACCTATCTTAGTAGATTAGAACTAATGTCACTGCTAAATGTGAACTGTTTTACAACTCACCAGGACTATATCGTTTCTTAGGTGACTGTTCTTTCATTGTGCGATCTCATCAGGTCTCATCCCGTCTATGCTGCTACGAAGGAAAATGAGAAAAAAATAGTCTTCTTAACAGAATAAAGTAGAGAAGTCTGAACAGGTGAGTCGAATCTGTCTGGATTCCTACATCGTACACATTGTACTGGCTTGTTGACGCGCGTTGCCTGGATACAAGAAAACAAACGTGACGTTTCTTTCGCTCGTTTGATTGGTTGGTGAGAACCGATGGAAGTGACCCGGATGTAGCAGTGCCGCGACTCTACCAACTATGAAACAAACCGGAGCCACATGAGGGACAGTGTCTGTTACCTATGAGCAGAGCAGTCCTGATTCAGTCGCTCGTCATTTATTTATTACTCTTGAAGGTGCATATCAATTTCCAGCCTCCTTTTCTGCTGTGTTTTTGTAGCCAAAGCTTGGTTGGTTTCGTGTTGAAAGAGCCAGCTAGTTTAGCTGCATGTATTAGCAAAACACGGAGCGGCTAGTTTGAGTAAAATCTGACACAATGTCGCTGACGCTGGTATTTTAGTTGCCATTGTCTGTGTGTCTTTATTTCGTTGAGCTGTTTGAATTCAGTAGGTTTAGGTGTCATTGGCGTTATGCGGCAGTTCTTTAGCTATAACGAGACGGGTAAGCTATTTTTATGTTAGCGTGCTAGCCAGCTAATTCCTTAATGTAACATTAGCTTTGCGGGCGGCAGTATATTATGCTGTTTGATTTTGCAGGTGTTCTACAGGAATAAATGGCTTAAAGGCATGTTAACCAACCTACTATCGATAGTCTAACTTTCCAAAAAACAACCTGAAATCATACAAAAACTGCAGCTCTAATACTTACGTACTTAGAGTAACTTGTAGTGAACTGCAGTGGAATTTCTTACTACATCCAGCATGTATTAGAATAGAAACTGAAGTTGAATTAACCCTTGAAACTAAATGCGGTTAGTTTATGAGCAGTGAGTTTTTTGATGTTACATTTGAGAATAACAGAAGTCTTAACTTCCAAAGTCTTTATGTTTTGTGCGATAAATCCGTTTTCACTAAAAATGAGTATAAACTGTATAGGAGACCCTGTCTCGTAATTATGGGCCCGTTAAAAAAAGCTGGATGAGTCGACACAAAAATAGTCCAGATAAATAATGAGAATAATAAAAATATCCGCTACTTTTTCTTCACTCATTGCACTGAAATAACAATACTTTTACTTGAGTATGGGTTAAGACCAGCAGTTCCCAATCCCAGTCCTGGCAACCTCGTTCTTTACACATTATTTGGGTTTTCTGCCTTACATACCTGACTCAGCACGTGAAGAGCTTGTTAATTAGTTAATGAGTTGAATTGGGTGTGCTAAATGAGAGTGCATGAATATATGCATCATATGGGGTCACAAGGACTGGAAGCCCACCCCTATTGCTGTTTGATCAAATAACAGCAGGAATACACATTTCTCCTATGCACCTTTGGACTAAAACATTTGGGCATTTCCAGTGCATGAAAATACAAATGCCTTAAAGTCGTTAGAATGCAGTTACATATATTTGTGGCAAGTGAACAACACTGAGAACACAGATTTGGAGAAGTTGTAATGACCTCAACCAGGGCTGCCATATGATTGGTAATAGGTGCCCTGTCCGTAATTACTGCTGTTATGCTAATGTCGAAAACCAATTGGAAATTTATGCTCCATCCAGACCATAACCATGTCAGAAGAGGAACTTCTGTCAGTGGACTATGAAGTTTATGGGAGAGTCCAGGGTGTGTTCTTTCGAAAACATACCCAGGTAAGCTTCATGTGGTCTGCTTATACATTTATGCATGTCATTGAATAATTGACTGTTTTATGTGCGTCTTGGATATGCATTCATGCAGCCTCACATTGTATATGTCTGCTTTCAGTCAGAAGGGAAGAAACTTGGCCTGGTTGGATGGGTGCAGAATACTCGAGCTGGAACCGTGCAAGGGCAGCTCCAAGGACCCGCCTTGAAAGTGAGAAAGATGCAGGAGTGGCTCAGAACCACTGGGAGTCCTCAGTCACGAATATCAAAAGCAGAGTTCAATAATGAGAAGACAATTGATAAATTGGATTTCAAGGACTTCAGAGTTGTCCACTAATGAATGCAGTAAATGAATTACATTCTGCTGCCACTGCTTCTAAGTTATTAATAGTATTTTTTTAGATAAGTTATTTGTCACACTGAAAGTGCACTCCAATGCAGAGGTAAACATATGTCCTCTAATAAATACACCTGACAGTAAAAATGATTCTGTGTTCTATATTTGTATATGCAACTGTTATTTATGTGGCAGAGGTTTCATTACAATAGATATCAGGTTTTAAAAGTAAAATTAAAATTGATGTCTTTCAGCAATAATTGCACCAGGTTCTAAGTGAGCATGATATGGCAGAACTGTTTGTCATTTTGCCAGATGGTATTTTATTTTAGTATTTAAAGGATTGTTTATTGCAGACTGTTGTGGGCCAAATATGGAATATCCTTAGAGGATTTGTTTCTTTGAATTTCTGTATTATATATATATATATATTTTTTTTTTATTTGCTGATAGATTACATTTATCATAACCTATTCTGATATATAAATATGATTTGTCAATAGTATATTTTCTCTCCACCAAAATCTAAATTCAAGACCGAATTAACTTTTTAAATGTTAGATTATGTTTAATTCTTTATTAATCCAAAATGTGTCTGTAAAATACTGGAATAAATAAAGCATATTAAATTCAGCAAGTAAACAGTAACTCTGCATTAAAATGTGCCAAAGTGTGTTCTCTGTAGAAGACATAGAAGAACACTAACAGAACATTTGATGAGGGGAGCCAAAACAATTGCTTATGATTGTATCAGAAAATATCAAATTCAAAACTGCTCAATTGCACAGCAACACAAGCTGTTTTAACTTTGCTGTTCCCATTCTGTGAAGAACTCCTGTGACCTGTGCCCCGTAATAATAAGTTAGAAAAACAAGTTCTGAAAAATCACCAAATAGCACTAACAAATAAGCCTAAAAAAACAAGCATCTCTCTTTTTTCAAAAGAAATGGCAAAGCCATTAAAAATAGATTCTGGTGGTCTAGTCTCATTAGCTCTACTGACAGATGTTTTGGTTTTTCAAGTTTGGCAATCTTGGGTGAAAAGAAATGTCTGAGTAAGCACACAACTTGTGTAAAATCAAGTTGTAAGACATAATTTCACACAATGGAATTACTGTTGTTCATGGCTGCATAGAAATTTTAGAAGTATTTAAAATAATTGGCAAAATACAGTGGTGGTCTCACCAATACCTTTTTTTCTGGTGTGACCAAATATTTTGGAAAATTGGCAGTTTATGTAAATACTAACTAGATGAAGTAAGCACCGTACATCAATAAGTGCTGTAACAGCACACAAGTCCAAGGATAATGCACATAGTCTCATTACAGGTTTAATTGAATCTCATTAATACAGCACCAAATTCTCATAGTACAAAAAAGTGTATTTATTCCACCTTGGCAGGTCCATTTCCTTGCAGGAAGACATTTAGTTGATTTCAGCACAAGGTAATACTGGCGCGTGCTGGCAACAGATACTTACCTCTTCATAATTCTTGCTTAAACGCCATGTTTCATGTCTAAATTGACCAGCTGGTCTGGGACCCTCCCAGTACCTAGACCCCAGAATGAAAAGACTTATTGTGAGAGAGCCAAACATTCCAGGAAATGACTGTTCCCCCCTCCACCTCTCTCCTTCCAAATCCAAGCCTGGCTGCACGTTTTGTACACTATCTTTTTTTTTTAAAAGGCTCAACAATTCCAACCACCCATATGGAACCTTGCACCACGCATAATACCAAGTCCATTTAGAGAGGCACTTGCACTGTTTGGCTTCACTGCTGTTTCGTAGCTACTGCTGCTGTGGCACGTGTGGAAGGAAAAATACTCACGCATGGAAGATTTGCTCTCAAGGCAAACCTCAGACATGCCATAGTGCTCCACTGTGAAGGCAATTGAGAAGAACTGGCATTCAGTTCATTAAAAGTATTTGCAAAACCAGATGTGTTGTTCCCAAACAACAGACTGTCCTACTACTATGACAATAAGATTTGAAAATTTAGTAACATGTAACTATTAGTAATAGTAAACGTATTCTACAGTATGATGAAAACTCATACTATCCTGCTTACAGATGACAAATCTTTATGTTCAGTAACCTTTTGTTTCTTCATTTAAGTTCAGCAGTAATGTTTTTTTGATGTAGTAGTATTGTATTTGTAGTTGACACACAAAGTGGCTGATTATCAGAAGTTAATAAAAGCACATTTGTGCGTACCACAAATAATGCTGCAGGATGATAATGAAGTGAATGGAAAGCTTGTTGCGTTCACAGCCTGACCTTGACCACCTGGTGAAAATCTGAACCTTCAGGGATATTTGAAAGAAAGTGGCCCTGATTTTTTTCTTACATGTCTAACTGATAACTCTGCCATGAAAGCCTTTATAATATAAAGACAGAATTCTGATGATTTCCAAAAGTTCTGCTTAAGTCTATTTGAGATGTAAACAAAGTCATTCAGAGTGGTTTGATGTGAAATGAGAAACATACCAACTGAGATTTCTTTACAGTGGTGCTGATATGAACCAGGGGTTGCAATGTCTACGGCACAAATATAGCCGTTTTATTTACTATCCAGAATGGCTAGTGAACTTACACATATCTACTGAGTTTTTAAATGTAATGTTGATGATGGTAAAATAGTAGAAAGTCAGAAAAAAACTTTCTTTGGGTACTATTTTGCCTTACAATGCCCTGCATATACCTCTCTGCCATGAAGATTTAAATATATATATATGTATATATATATATATATATATATATATATATATATATATATATATAAGATGATAATATGAGGTTTGTTCAATAGATTTCTGTGCGGGAGCTTGTAGAGGCATTAAATGCTTCTGATGTCTGGCACTCTGATGGACTATACGGCAGAAAGCTTCTCTAGAATGGTGCATTTCACACCAAACCACTTTGAATGACTGTTTATGTCTCAACAATTAAATTGTTTACTTGTATTCTGTAGCCTGTGTTCTTCTTGTTTCTAGATATCAAGTGAGTGGAGTTAAAATATTTCAAATA